ACTTACTATCATGGACTGGGACACTTTTCAGCCAGCGGTGGTGTGGATCTCCCCGGGCTAAAGCTCGTTTAAAAGGATGATGGTGGGAGGGTGAACTATCAGCTTGCACTTTTGGAAAGACACCATCAGTGATGAAACCTAAACCACATACTGCATCTATTTTGTGATAGATGGTAGAATAGTTCATGCTAGAAGAGTTTGGGTGCTGAGCTGGCCTGCCTGTAGGACACATTTGACATATCATGAAACAAAACATTAAAAAAATACGACAAAGAAGGACTGCTGAGCATTTAGAATCATATATCAGACAACAATGGGACAATGGTGCTCTCCCAACAGTCCAGCAGCTGATCTCTCAGATTTTCCCAGATGTTTAAAGACTGTTGTAAAATAAAGGGGGGATGCTGCATAGTGGTAAATATGTCCCTGTCCAAACCTTTTGGAAATGTGTTTCTCCCAAAAAATATTCCCCCAGTTCATGTTTTCATGATGCTGGTGGAAAGTGCGGTCTAACACGTTAGTCCAGAATCTCATATAAGTGTTGAACTGGAGTGAGATCTGGTGACTGTGAAGGCCGTAGCACATGAGTCATATCATTATCATCCTCAACAAATCAGCAGTGTTAATTTACACTCACTCTTCTCTCGATGGTCGCAAACCATGCCAACAGAGCCACCAGATCCTGTTGTTGTAGTGGTCAAGGGTTCAGGCTTGTCCTTTAATTTATCTTCTGTCCATATAGAGCGTGAACTTACTTACTCTTAAAAAACAGTAAAGCAAAATTTTATACGTTATTTGTCCGTACAGGTGTTTAATGTGACTTAAAAATAAATGTGGTATGATTAGTTAACTACCTAATACACTGACTCAAGCTGATCACCTGTTCTTTTGTTGACAGAACAAATAGCCCCTCTGACTTGCAAAACACACATGTAACTAATGTTATTAAATGCTGCCCTGTATTGATGTTCTTTTCTACAGATAAAAAAAAAAAACATCCCAAAACATAAATAATCTATATTAAGATGAGAAAAAATGCTCGGCCATTAAAAGGACAGCACAAGGATTTATCTGAAGGAAGGCAATACCAGTAAAGTTAACCTTTATCCTATCAGTCACAGAGGATTTATAAAGTAAACCTTTGGCTATGTAATTTTCTTCCTCCACACTAATGGATCTTTATTGATTTTATCAGATGATGGATTTGAGGATGAGTACTATTTTTAACTTGAATCTGAGAAGGCCATTTGGATGAAAACCTTAGTTCCTTTAGATCAGTAATAGCCAGATTCATCATAAAAGTCTACAGTACTTTTATGTTTTAACAAAATTCTCAACAAAAAAATGTAGCTACGTCAGTCTTGCGTTATTCTTTGTTCCATACCATATGACAGTCAGCACATTTGATTTGTAGTAAGATCAATTAGAAATTTATTTCTGTGCTTTTAGTGAATGGGCCTGTCAGCTTTTTAGTGTGATGCTCGTAAGTTATACTTCAGATTTATGGCACTCCTGGAGCTAGCTGCTTGATGAGTAAATGACTGGAATACAGCACGCATACAGTATGTTTGCAGATTTCCCATAAGGTTATCCTCATCTTCTTGCTCTACATTCACTGACCACTTCGTTAGATGCACCAGTTCAACTGCTTGCTAATTCAAATATCTAATCAGTCAATCACATTGGCAGCAAATCATTGAGGCTTTTAGACAAAGTTCAAACTAAGAATCAGGAAGACAGGTGATTTAAGCGACTTT